CCAAATCTTTTTGTGGTGGCAACGAATTGGAAATTGAGGGGATGCCCATCAATTGAGGAAAGGCTGATTGATCAAGTTCAAGTATATGATTATGATGGAATAGAATACTATTGTGTTATAAGAAATGACCAGTAAGGTTTCAGAAAAACCTGGGAAGACTTATGTGAACTGATGCAAAATGAAGTAAGAACTAGAACATTTTACACAGTAAGGCAATATTGTAAGGATGATAAACCATAAAAGACTTAGCTACTCTTATCAAGACAATGATTCAAAACAATTCCAAAGGGCCCATGATGAAAAATGCTATCCTCTTCCAGAGAGAGAACTGATCAACTCTTAAATGCATATTGAAGCATACTTTTTTTATTCTATTGTTTCCCTTTGCAACATGGCTAATATGGAAATATTTTGCATGACTTCACATGTATAATTAAAATCAAATTGTTTGCCTTCTCAAGGGGGGGATGGGAGGAGAGAATATGAAAGTTTTGAACCCCCAAAAACCCCCATTTTAGTCAACTCTAAGAGAAGAAATTGGGGTGCGTGCCCACGGTTTAATTTCTCTCAAGCTGGCTTGACATACATTACATGGGAGTTCAGTCCAAAACTGGGCCCCCCTAAGGGGGCCAATTCAGAACTGATTTGAATTGAGATTTTGGGGGTACAGCCTTTTATGCCCTTTGAAGAGTAGGTGTTCAACTCTGGGAGGTGGGCCATATTAAAATAAGGGTCTGATTCAGTATGTGACCCAGGTCACTCAATCCTGGTCAAAGAGACATCAATTTCCATATCACCTGTCTTGACAATAAGGAGGAATCAACCTGTCTAGGCAACATAATGAGCAGGTATAGATCCATTTAAATTACATCTTAATGTCTTTCTGAAGGACTGAACTTAAAAGAAAGGGGGATGGAGAAGCTCTGAGTTTCCAAGGTAATGATTACTAAGAAAATCATTTTCCACAAACTCAACTTTTAAAAATGATTGTTAAAAAAATCTTTACATGTAATTGGGAAATATTTAAGAAATAAATAAAAATAATTTTGAAAAACAAAAAACAGGAGCCATTAAACCATAAATCCCTGTGGGCTGCATAGTGACTTTTAAAATGTAATATTATCTGTTTTGTTGAATTTTTATTTTTTCAAGTAGTCCCAATTACATTTTAATCTTGTGTGGGCTACCTGCAGCTAGTGGACTGCATGTTTGACACCTATCTTATAATGCTCTTTGGAATTCTTATTCTCCTGTAACATTTTAATTTGTATTATATTTGTATGTGTGTTGTATCCTCTCTGCTAGGACAGGTTGTAACTTCACATTGGTATCCCTGTGGCTTGTACATGAAAAGACACTTGTTTTTTTATTGAATCAAATGAAACAAAAACCAAAACTCCAAACCTACCCCATAATTTGGAAAATTACAAGTAAAGTACAATAGAATAGAGAATGATGGGTACAAGTAGATTGTACCATATTAACAATCATGACTTAAATATAAGAGGAATAAAAGACATTAATGAGATGCTGAGAAGACAAAAGACACACTGTGAACCCAAGGATACAGAAAATAACAAGAGGAAGGCCTTCAGTATATCGGGTCAAACTGTTATGGAGAATTTATGGAAAAACAAGAATTCCATTGGACTAGACTAGATAGCAAAGAGGGGTTACAGATCCTGCAGTGCAGAAATTTTACCTACACTGATAAAATATAGCTACAAAGCACCCAATTACCTGTGAATGGTTATTCAATCAGTTAGTGGCCCCAAAGGAAAAAAAAACTCTTTACTCTTAGTCACCAAGCAATAAACACTCTTCCATGCTGCTTAACAGCACGGTGCTAAGTGAGAGAAAACGCAATTAGGTGGCACAGTGGAGAAAGTGCTAAGCCTGGAATCATGAAGATTCATCTTCCCAAATTCAAATTTGGTCTTAGACACTAGCAATATTGCCTTAGGTAAGTCATTTAATCCTGTTTGCCTCAGTTTCTTCATCTGTAAAATGAGCAAGAAAAAGAAATGGCAAACCACTACAGTATCTTTGCCAAGAAAACTCCAAATGGCATCACAAAGATTTGGACACAAATGAAAAATGACTGAACAAGTGCTGCAGACACAAAGAAAAACAAAAAAAGTTTCTTTTCTCAAGGAATTCAGAGAGACATAATATGCAAACAGTTATGTATAAACAGTGTATATACAGTAGATAATTTCATTGAGAAAATATTAATAAGGAGGATTGGGAACATCTTGTAGAAGGTGGAAGTTTTTCAAATCAGAAAAACAAATGAAGGCTAAGTGGGCAATCCCCAAGGTAGGATGAGTAAATAAAAGGGATAATCAGGTAGTTTCAACAGCATCACATGTGCCTATGAGAAGTAAGAAACTATTATATTTCCATATAAAGAAACTGAGAGAGAAAAGTAGCTCCTGCAGGAAGCATATTGGTTTCACTTCTTCACTCATCCTAAGTATATCTAACTTATTATGCCTATTTGGGTACCAGACGTTATTTGCTACATGACAATATAGCAACAAACATTTTCAGAACTCTGCAAGTTACCATTTAAACTCAGTGCCTACAAGGGAAACTTTCTAGGTTTCAGTGTTAATTTTATTCTTACCTCAATTTCTTTTCCCCTCAGTTATACTCCAAAAGATCTGATAGGATGAATATATTCCTTCCACTAACATTGATCATAACCCTTCCACATTTTAATAATGATCTCTGTGATTAAAAAAAAAAATCACCTGTTGGTCAGTATTTTGGCAGACGAGTTTTTCTTTTTAAACTTAACTAAGGGGCAGCTAGGTGGCGCAGTGGCTAGAGCACTGACCCTGGAGTCAGGAGGACCTGAGTTCAAATCCGGCTCAGACACTTGATACTTACTAGCTGTATGACTCTGGGCAAGTCACTTAACCCCAGTTGCCTAGTCAAAACGAACGAACAAACAAACTTAACTAGACTGATATTGGGTCCAATAAAGGCAAATGTGACCCTTCCCTGAAACTCTTCTGCCTTGGTATGCCCTATTTGCATTGCCTTTGAGAACCCAGGTTTCACCACCAAACTATCATGAAACACTTGAGCATGATAATATTCCTTAATATTTCTGTGACTGATTAGATAAAATTTTATGATGCGGAGTGGCAGTTTTAACTGATGAGACCACTAACAATTCCTGGGAAGTCCAATTAATTCAAACTCAAATCCCATACCACACTTTAGCATTAACTTTCCAGATGGCAAGGACCTCAGAGGGCATCTAGTCCAACCTCGTTCTTTTATAGAAGAAGAAGAAACCAAAGTCCAGATAATTGAAGAGATATATGCCAAAGGTAACAGAGGGAAGTAGCAAAACCAGGAATGGAACCCAGGTCCTTGGACTCCAAATCAAACACATTCTTTCCCACTGTGCAAAGATAATTAAAAGAAAGTACACTTTTTATTGAATATTTAATTCTAATTTTAAAAATACCATATTTGCATGATTTGAAAAGTTTTGACAAATTTAAGTTTTTACCGTGACCCCTTAAAGTGGCATCTTCTTTTCTCATTTTCCCCGCAAATAATAACTAAACAACAAACTAGAGCTTTAATGATGAAAAGTTTATTTTGCTGCTTGCCTAGAAGCAAAGTTGGTGAAAATTACTATAAGTACAAAAATAAATATAATTTAAATCAATGGGCATTCCAGTCAAAATAAAAAACACTTGAATAAAAAATAGTATACATAAATAAAAATTCATCCAAAGCACAAAAAAGGTATCTGGCACATTTTAAGAGAAAAATCCATGGAAAATAAAATTTGTAGATGACAGCAATGTAACACACAAACTGTTTAAAATTAAAAGATAACCTAGGTTTTCAACTTTATTCTAAGACTACTTAAGTTTCTCTAAAACATATTGCTTATCTTGCTAATTAGCACTGCTGCACACAAAACAATGAATCCATCTTTATCAATGGAGAGACCTATAGTGATTAAGTAAGCAAATATCCTGAGGTTCTGATTTTTATAAAACAAGGTTTGTCATATTTATATAGTAAACAATTTGATATGTTTCACTTATTAATAAGAAATCTAACTAGGGCATTTTGCTGGCTCTCCTATAATTTTCTGGTTCACTCAGGCAATAAATTATGTAAAAATTCCAAGAATTATAATCAAGTTTATTCCCAGAGTAGTTGTTTTCTGTCTATAGTTGGAGGCAAAAAGTGATTTTTAAATGGAGCAGAAAATTGGAGAAAACCAGCCTTCATTTAAGTACACTCTGCTTTACAAAATTACCAGTATTCTCTCTAAAATGCAACATTATTTCTCTTTAAAATTCTAGTTTGAAAGATTTCCACATTTACATATGAGAGAAGAATAAAACCTTTTCCTTAAGATTCCAAAACGTCTTGATAAAGAACAAATGAAATTCTCTCTTAAAGAAAATTAAGTTTTCTTACCTCCTGTTATTCTGGGTAATGTTTTTAATTTTACTTGTATGTGTATATAAAACACATAGGTATTTGTCTATATATAATAATGCGTGTGTTATGTGTGTGTGTGTAGATACATATTCACACACACAAACACACACACACATATATTCACACACAATTAATCCATACATTGAAAATAAACCCGTATTTGAAAATTTGGATTTATTAGATACAATCCTTTTATTCTCTCCAAAATTAAGTATCCTAGAAAAAGTATAATGTCACAAAGGAGCAAGACTGCTGGAAAAAAATTGTTCTGCCCAAATAGAAAATATAATTGCATGCATTAACTTGTTTTTTTTTTTAAACTACAGTGGATTTAGTACATTCCTAAATATGATATATTCAAGAAGATTGTATGGTCTTCTCAAAAAATTTTCTCTCCATAAAAGGAAGTGACAATCCTATGAAAATGCTTTAATAAGTATTAGTAACATATATGGAAATTTAATATGTCTGTTGTTAGCATACAGGCATCCAGAAGAAAAACAATTAGGCATCTATGACCAAAAACAATATTCCAAATTTTTATTCTATGTTAATTTTCATCCAATTTATGCTCCCTAAACCAGAGTTCCAGTTTACATAAGTACCTGTTAGTCCATGGTAAAATTTACAAATTGGGACTCAACTCCATTAAGAGTCTAATGAAAATCGTTTTTAAAAATTAAAAAAAACAACAAAATATGCTTCTACATTGTTCTCCTTTGGAACAAGGTATCATGAAATTTGTTTACCAAATACAATAGCATAGACAAGTTTCTTAGAAGTAAAATGTGTTTTCTCAACTGATGAAAATTTTACCACATCTTTTCAATCTTCTTTCACAAAAACAGTTCAGATATCCTTAAAATCTGGAAAATACACATCTTTTGCAAGCCTAGACACATAAATATCAAAATTTTGACTACATAGGTAAAACACAGACTTGAAGTATTTTTTTCAGTATTCTTTCCCCACCTAAACCTATTATTACTGAAAAAATGGATTTAGAGTAGGATTTCTCTACATTACTGAATAATTCTCAACATTCCACTTTACTTTCTTGGGCAGAAAAAAATAGATGAGCACGACCACATTGTTTTATCCAAGTGAATGTTGTCTTCTTAAATTGTCGCAACATTTGGCTGCTTTCTTTGGGTTTTTCCTGCATATGCTCCTAAAAACAAAATAAAACCAGTTTTTTTTCTATAAATTATTACTTTCTAAATTACACTGTATGTCATTAACCATCAAATTAAGTATAAATAACTAAAAAAGTTCTTTGACAGTATTCTGAAACCTTAGAAGACTGGGAGAAGCATGCCATAATAACTAGAGTGTTGGATATGGAGTCAGGAAGACCTGAGCTCAAATACCAAATACCACCTCTGACACTTAACAGCTTTGTGATTATGGACAAGTTATGTAAGCCTAGGCTCTCAGCCTCAGCTAATACTCTATGATAAAAAGTTATCCATGGCTTATAATCCACATACATGGAGGGAATTTTCCCAATGGGCATTCCTGCAGTGATGAAATCACAGGTCTTTGATGTGCACGAAATAATTAATTTCAATTTGAATGACAAAGATTATTAATGAGCCTCCATAAGCTTCACAACTTTTGCTACAGAGCTTAAATTTTCTATTTGAGATTTCAATTTCTGCTATTCTATGAATATACAATACAGTATAACACACATAAAGTTCTATAATGACAAAGCATACATTCTCCATGCAGGTCAAGTCAGAATGAATTAAAATTAGAATAAACTGTATGTTTTGGGAAATAAAAATTGTAAATAGGGAAACGCTCTCTTTTAAAGAGAACTGCATGGATCTCAGTGTAAATAAATTCACGGATCATATATAAATCAAAAGTCATATTCTAATACTGTTGTTTATGGAACAGGATACTGAGAACAGTAAGGAAAACAGTTAAAATTAATTTTAGTATACAATCAGGTGCACATTAATTTTACATTTCAAGGGTGAAACTCATCTGTAATTTGGTTGTGATACAAATCCGTATGATTGTAAATACTTTATATATAAACCCAGTGACTATATATATGTCAAATTATATACTGTTGAGTATTGACTGATATGCACTTAAGTAATTAGGTGGTATTAAGTAAGTGCAGATCATACAAATATGATGAATCAGAAGTGACAATCAAACATTTGAAGATGAAATGAGAGGGAAGATATAACATAGGAAAAAATTCATAGTTGTCAACTGGAATATTTGATTAAAAAACACATACAAATTATATACTACAATCAGGAAATATGTAGAAATCTTCCAGTACTTCCCTATTTCTAAGAACTCTAAATGGCCAGGAATTTATCAAAATTTTTGCCTCTTTAGATCCTGGAAAGAACTATAATGTTTAGAGGGATTCCAGATAGTTCCAAGGCCTTTAAAAAACAGCAGAAGATGCATTAGTCATTTTGTGAAATTTTTCCTGATTTTGGTCATCATTTAAACTATTAGATTCTGAATGTACTTGGGGGTTAAATGATATTCAATATGTAATTCCCTTTAACGTAACCTCACTTACTATAAATCATATGATTTTAAATGGCTCTGTTTTAAAGTGGATTATACTACATATGCACTATGAAGAGTTATACTCACAAAGTATGGTACAATAGAGTCAACAGGCCTGGGTTTGAGGCCTAACTCTGCTGCAAACTAACTGTGACTTTGGACATTATCTCTCCTCTCTGGGTCTCAGTATCCTCATCTGAAAAATGAGGGAGTTGGACTAGATGATCTCTCTAAGAACCCTTCCAAATGTAATATTCTATGATCAATTATATATTTGTAAATTTGGTATTCATCTCAAAAAGCTATGATCTCTTAAGATATTTAATGTTAAACTCATATTTAACAATGTAACATGAAAAAAACCTTACAGTGCTCATTTTTTAATTTTGATGACTGATTTTATTCCTAAGTACTGAAAATTCTGTGACTGTCAAGTTTTATATTTGTTAGAACACTAACATTAATCATTCTGTGACTGTCAAGTTTTATATTTGTTAGAACATTAGTATTAATCTAAAGAATTATTCCACATTACATGTTAGATTTAACTTTTTTATGTGTTAATAAAGGTATTTTCATTAGTAACACATAATTTTAGTGAATAATTCCCAAATATTTTGTAAGAACTAATATTTAACAAAAACAGGTTTTATAAGTGCTTTAGATACATTTGAATATTGTATTTGTCTTCTTGCCACGATATAATAAAGTTCTGAAACAAGCTCCCTGTAATAAACCTAAGGATAACTAACTGGAATTTCTGTTTTGTATAAGAAACTAAGGAGAAAAGAAAAAAACTTTTCTAAAAAAAAAATTCTCCTCCCAAATGATCTTGCAGTTGGGGGAGACAGGAAGAGAACAAATAATTATTTCCTTATTTGTAGTTACCATACTATACTAACAAACTACAAGGTCATACATTTCCCCACAGCAAAACAAGAGATATGTATAGATTCGGGGCAGCTTAGGCACAGCACAGTTATTGCCTTGTATTCATTTTTTAAAGGGGGCAATATAATTCACAATTTATACTTTTTTCTGAACTGCAAAGTTTACATGGTAATCTATGGATACAGATGTTTCTAGAAACCAAGATTATAATCATATATTTCCTTAATTTTCCACCACCCTCTCAACTCCACTAAATTGGAAACACATTCCTTTGATGAGGAATGATTTACTATACATGCCAAAGTTATAGTGGCAAGAAAAAGAAAACAATATATTCCACTTAAATGATGTGGATTTGAGCATCTTACTCACTTTTTTCCAATGAAATGAGATTCAGAAACTCATTTTCTACACACCTGAAACACGCACTCTGTTACGCATTCTGTTGTCTGAGGACTTCTCTCTATTTTGCTCAACCCCCTTCACTGATGTCTTAGGGGTTCTAATTAAATATAGAAAAGTTAATAAGCTACACATTAAAGTCTAAATGCTGTAACTTAGAAAGAAAATAAGCATCATACTGTTCAGTAGGAATAGCTGAAAAAGGAACACAGTAGCAGTCAGAAACCCTGCAGGAAGCTATACTTGTTCTTAATGAGAAAATATAATCCACATTCCACAACCACATAAAGCTTTGCTTATACTTTATCATTTATATTGACCTATATCCCTCTGTAGTCTTAATGCTGTTTATATGGCTAGTATTTCATTGTTGTTAATGGAACCAAAACTGTATGAAGTGAATGCAAAACACATGGCAAAACATGATGATAATGAAAACACAATACACAACAGTATGCCCAATTTACTTTCAAACTGTTTTCTAAGATAAAAAGAAATCTGAAAAAATTTAAATATACTTTTGCAACCAAAAATAAGTAATGATGTTTTAAAAGTATTTGCAACATTGATCATGAATATGAATAATTTCCTCTCAAAGTTGCCTTTTATTTTAAATATTTTCTAATATAAACAAATGTATACAGTGCTCTTACCCTTGTCTACAGAATGGCTTATGAATAGGGGCATTTTGTCCTTGACTTGGCTGAAGTACTCTGTTAACAAAGAAAATAAGTCAGTTTACTAAAAAATAAACAAATTAAATTTGGATTTTTTATATTATCTTTCAAATGTTAAGTTTCTTAAAGGAAAATATTAAGTTAGGAGCTAATTGTATAATAGGTTTTCTTGGATATGTCCAACCAATTTTTACTGAATTCTTAAACAGGAGCACCTGTGTCAAACATGGCAGCCAGTATTTATTTACTAATAGACTAGGCCTATGGAAAACTGTATGATGAAAAAGAATGTTGTCTAAAATTAGCATTAATCCCTTGTTCCTCTGGGTGACTAACAAATCTTCTCAAATCTGAAAGAATATATTATTCTTATTTTACAATAAGGGAAAACAAGTTAGAAACTTTAAGTGACTTTACCAAGGCAGTAAAAAAGGCCTGGATTTAAATCATGACACAACTGACTAAAATTTCCACTAGAGGCATTTCCCAAGCATATCCTCATTATGTTCTTGCTATTATCTGGTGGCTGTGATTGTAGCCTTATTACATTCTTATGTAATCCCCAAGTCTATAATCTTTTATGTAAGCAGGTAATATTCTGCTAATGGAAGACAGGAAGACAGGAAGGAAGTAGGGAGAGCAGGAAGGGAGAGAAAGAGAAAGAAAGGAAAGAAAGAGATAAAGAAAAAAAGAAAGGAAGGAAAGAAAGAAGGGAGAAAAAGAGAGAAAGAAAAGAAAGCAGGCACAGGACTTAATAGAAAACAATTCCTTCTCAGAGAAGAAAAATAATTTCTTAAAGGAATAGTTTCAGTTATTTTCAGTCACCTTGTTTCAGAAGGCTTTTGTCTGATGAGAATTTTCTTATTTGGCATTCCCATTTCAGCAGCCCTAAAGAAGAAAATCAGGACACAGAGTGTGTTTGAGGGGAAAAAAAATATGCTTATAAATATCACAGATAAAATACATTACTTCAGGCCAAAACTATGTAAGCTGAAGAGATAATCTTCTTGTAAGAGAAAAACTTTAAAAAGCAATTAGTGGCACAGCCAGATGGTGCAGTGGATACAACACTGGGCCTGGGGTCAGGAGGACCTGAGTTCAAATATGGCATCAGCCAAGACACTTGACACTTACTAGCTGTGTGGCCCTCAGCAAGTCACTTAACCCCAACTGCCTCACCAAAAAAAAAAAAAAAAAAAAAAAAAAAGCAATTAGTAAGATCTTCTATGTACATTTTCCCAAACACAGTCTTTTCTCACTAACTTTTTTTAATTTGGGAAGTCACAAGCAGAATTTGTCTAAAAGCTGAGACTTTCAATGTAGGGACCAATTAGTTGAATACTAAGCTGAGACTGAATACTAATGATAATGTTCTGGCCTCCCAATTAGCTGCATATGTAAAAGTCATAAGACAAATACAAGCCAGAAATAAATATAGACCATATTAAGATGGATTCAGATCTCACAACCTTATTTTAATGGACATACTTTCTATGAATTAAAATTATTTTAGTCAATTGGGAAAAGCTATTGGTTCTTAATCCCTTAAATACAAAGAACAACGGGGAATAATGGAGGACCAAAAGTAAAGATTACTTCATACGACTGAAGAAAAAAAAAAAAAGACAGATTATGTCAATACTTACTTCATGTACTTCTTCCTATCCAGAGATTTCTGTGTTGCAGCTGAAAGAGATGCTCGTGGGTTCTTCATTTTATCCTTTGCATGAAAAAAAAAAAATGTATGTACATATGTGTGTAAGTATGTATATGTGATAGGACCAATTGAGCATTTGCATTACTACATCTAGGAATCTATCAATTTTCACTGAAAAATCTTTTTTTTAAATAGAATTTACATGTCTCTGACATGATCTCTCTTGGGAATTAATCTGCTGGCTAACTTATTTTGGTAAACGGTTTAAAAAATTTTTATTGTCTATATGCACACTACAAAAAATGTGATTTCACATTTTTATTCATCTCTTGTCAACAAATTCATTCACAATCAGACACCAAACTGCTACTTTAAAATGCTGCCTTTTCAGATTTACTTGGGTCAGACTTTCTGCTCTGCTCTCTGAATTAGTTGCAGGTGTAAAAATTACATGGTAAGCGATGATTAGAAAAATCAATAAAGGTTAGGCAGATTTTTCCAGGCGTCATAAAAGGAAGCCTTTCAAAATCAAGTTAAAAATCTTCGCAATCCTGATAGGTGAGAGGGTTATACTGCATATTCTTTTGCATCTCTACAGTTACCAGAGTAGCTGGCATTCTTGACTGCAACCTATGCCTCAAAATCTCTGAGAAGAGCTTAGATGCTATTCGATGAGAACTGAAGTAATGTTAAAATCCTGAGTGATTTCATTGAATAAAATGTTACATTAATTGCATTAAACATACCATTTGTCTAAGCATTTTTTCTTTACGCACTTCTCGATCATGATGTAAAATGGACATTCTTTCTGCTGCATCCATTACGAAAAATATGTCATGAATATCAAATAAGGCAGCTCGAAGCTATTTTTGAAACAAAAAAGAAGAAATTGTACCTTTTATAAAAAAAGAGCTTAACAATAACTTAGTAGGACATGTTTGAAGAACATTTTAAACTTTTCCAATGTTAGTAATACATATTCTTCATTTACATAAATAGTTCAGATAAAGACGGTGAATAAAAGAGAAATTCTAACTTAGTCAACAAAGTAAATTTCAGAAAAATAAATAGAATACAAGGTAACTTTCCTAGGCCAATGATTGGTTCTAAGAAAACATATATTACAGACACTTAAGAGAAATAAGATGTAAGTGTGAGTTACATTCTTGGCAGCTAGAATTTAGATTATAAAAGCTACAAAGATCTGAGACTATATAACCTTTATAAAGGTAAAACTTAGTTCCCCTGCCTCACAACTTTCTTCTTTCTCCACTCCAGAAATCTATAGGGTTTTGTTTTTTTTTTAAATACCTGGCAAGCAGAGTGGCATATGTGGCCTTCTGCATCAAAAGTATCTGGCTAGGTGTATGGGAAAAGGGGAGAAAGAAGAAAGGATTCCCTTAATGGTCCTCCTGACCCCAAACTTCATACCTTTGTTCTCTATGTTCTCTTAGTACTTACCAGCTCTGTCCTTTCATTTTGCTTATACATTTTTTTAATTTTTAAATTTTTTTTTTAATTTTTAGGCAACTGGGGTTAAGTGACTTGCCCTGGGTTGCACAGCTAGTAAGTGTCAAGTGTTTGGTCTGAGTCCGAATTTGAACTCAGGTCCTCCTGATTTCAGGGCTGGTGCTCTATCCACTGCGCCACCTAGCTGCCCCCTTCTCGTTTCATTTTGGAGCAGGAGTCCCACAGAAGATTGGGGGACAGGAAAGGTCAACGTTCCTGTGAGGCTCTCAGTATTAAAGATTCAAGCAGGCTGCTTCATGCTCCCACCATTTAGAGGAAAGCCAGGAGTTGTGCCTCCTGGAATCAGCTACTATAAGATTTTGCTACATTGCTGTAAGGTTTGACTATGACATACTAACCATGTTATTGCAAAACAGCCCTGATCATGTTATACTTAGAAATTATGCCTAATACATGCATACACAATTACCTGAGCTAACACTCTTTCTTGGAGAGAAGCATCTTGTGCTGAAACAGATCCCCTTTTTAATGGAGCTTCTGACTGAAAACTTCTTATGAACTCCATAGTATCCTGTAAAGATTGAAGAAATTTTTGAAAAGGAATCTATGAATATTCATAGGATTTTTGAAGTCCCCCTTCTTTTCCTATTCCTTCCATCTATAGTATTTAAACCACTCAGGTTTCATTTTACTATATGAAGAATTATACCTTGATTTGCCCCAAATCTGTCCAGAAAACTATCATTATAGATCAAATTATGTTTATCTTAAAGGATAATAAAGAACAGAATGCACCATCTAATTTTAGGCTGCAGAAACAATGAATTCTCTTAGCAACAGCACACAATTACTCCATAAATTATTTTATCTGAGTTCTAACCTTATCTTCCAACTTGCAGAAGGTGACAGAAGATTAAGGGTAGAAGAAAGAAAAAGGGAAAAATACTTACATAAAATAAAAACTGTTATACCAATGCTCTTACTTTTACTGTTTGCCGGAGATGTTTCACTTTTTCTGTCTGCAGGAGCCTACGAGTAAGAAATCCTTTTGCCACTGCAATTATTTTGTCAAATTTTGCTTGTACTTCTAGACTAAAAACCTTTAAAAAAAACAAGGACAAACTTCTTAAGATTTTCTATTACAGAATTGTTCCTTGGCTTGTAATGAGGTACTGAAACAAATTCTTTTGTTTTTTACATTTTATATAGTTTCATATTTAAATAATTTTAAATGTTTAAAACTGGTACTGTCAAAGTACACATGTTCATTTGCAGAGCCTGAAAGAATAACGGAGCTTTTAAAAATATATACAATAGTTTTACTAACCTGAGACCATCTGGGTTTGCCCCTTACAGGAGGCCTTGTTACTGGGATTTTGGGCAAACCACTAGTTGACGATCCCCAGAGGTAGAATGGTACTTCACTTGTAGAACCAAAGCTATGTTGTAGGGTAGAATTTGTCAAACCTAGAGAAAAGGTTAAAAATGTAGATTATACCTAATTCTGCATAAAGCAGTATACATTTATCAGCACCAATCAGTATAGATTATTATGGGCAATAATCACACTTGTACAAGCTTTGCTCTTGCCAGGAATAACAACTTCTTAAATCCTTACCACCCCCCCCCACACACCCCACCATCACTTTGAAAATAAATGATGTGAAAAGGAAATCACAGGGGACAGGGCCTTAGATATAGTGTAAGAGCACTCTGAGGATGACAATTTTTTTTTTAATTTGCCATATGTCACCTGCCACATGAATGAACACAGGCTGGGATACTTCCCTCACTAAAGTGATTACTCTCCATTCAAACACCTGCTTACAAGGACCTGGACAGTTGCCAGCATTTCATTTCTCACTAGTTACCAAGCAGTTGGCAGATGGAGGTAACCTGGGAAAGCCATCATCTAATAATATTTCTTAAAGACCTATACACCACTTTCTGTATCAAATAAAGTAGGAGAATTTTAAATAAAGGAAAAGGCTTTAAATATTTACCAGAAGTATTTGAATTTCCAATATGGAGAGTGTCCACTTGTGATAGCATTGTTTCTAACAAGCCACCATCACTTATTTTTCTCCATTCTAATTCCACTGCATTGTTAAGGTTCACTTCAAGTGTTTCTGCTGTAATTTCCTTCTTCTCTTTTAACATTCTCTCCTGTTCTTTGATTTCCTGCAGATTAATAGTCCATTATGATATGCCAGCTCTCATGTTCAAACACATTTCCTTTATTAACTAATCAATCTATTCACACAATGAAGTCTACTTTTCCTCTGATACAGGTTTGAAATTTCAGTGTATTTAAAGTAAATCGAATACAACAAACACTTATTAGGCACTTATGTTTAAAGCACCATTCTAGGAGCTGGGAATAGAAAGGCAAAAGCCCATTCACCCAAGAACCTTACATTCTTTTGGGGCAGTTGAGGGAGGGGAATAAAAAATGGACACAGGTAAGTAAATACAAAAAGTCATCTGAGGAGGGAAAAATACTATAAAGTGGGTATGAAGGGGAAGGGTCAGGAAAAACTTCGAGAATGATACCTGAACTGAGCCTTGAAAGAAAATAAGAACTCCGAGAGATGGAGATGAGAAGGAAGTACAAATCTGCTTGTGCAGATTTACTAAGATAGAATGTTGAGGAGAAGGAACAGTCAAATCCATAATAGCAAGTAATATGAAATAAGGCTGGAGAGGTAGGTTGAAGTCAGAATGTGTGGATCTCAAATGCCAGGCTGACAGCTTTTTATTTTATCCCAGAAGGAACAGGGAAACATTAAATGTTTTGGAACAAGGCTGTGCATGGTCACACTTGATCCTTGGAAGATTATCTTGGCAGCTGTGTGAACTGGAGAGGAGAGACACTGGAAGCAAAGATATCTGTTAAGCTATTACAAAGCCCTCCCACAAGGGGAAAGGGGCCTTTGCTGGAGGTCACAGAGGTGGTAAATAGTCCAGGCAGAACCAGTCATGCCAGCATAGCTGTGGCATCCTGATTTACGAGGGCGGCATCATCAAAAGGCAGCTCTGTCCAGTGAGTTGGTCATTTTGTAGAAATTCCATGGCTGCCCTGGGTGCAGAGGACCCAGAAGCAAGATGATATCAGGGATTTCTTTGAGGAAAGTAAATGGGTCTTGTGGGACCCTGGGGCATCTGTAAAGGGTTAATTTCCCTTCATCTGCCCAAGTGACTAAGCCAGTGGACAGAAAGCGCTGGTGCAATAAGATGAAGCCTGCCCTGGCACAACCAGCTTCTAACTCATGAACGAGCCTTTATTTTATAACTAGTCCCCACATCCCAACCACTCAGACGTTTATTAGGGACAGTTAGTCTTTAACACTAACAGGATTATTGATGGTAAACCTGCAAATCTCTCAATTCTATGAAACAGTTTGGGGAAGGGGTAACATGGCATTAAAGGTTTTCACACATTTCTTAAAATTAAAAAAAAAAAAAAGAACCCATTACATTAGTCAAAAGTGAGAGGGAGAGAGGGCCTGAACTACAATGGTAGCTACACAAATGGAGACTCGAGATAGATTTCAGAGATGATGTGGAGGTAGAACTATTTGTATGCATTTATTATCTTTCATTCCCATTCCCCCCACAATAATTTAAAAAAATAAAAACAAAACAAAATCCTCGTAACAAATATGCATAGTGAAGCAAAACAAATTTCCACAAAGGCCATGTCTAAAAATGTATGTCTAGATTTTAAGGTGTGGAAGTAGAATGGACAGGACTTAGCAAGTGATTAGATATTGGTGGGGCAGGGGGAATGGAGCAAGAGGGAAGGATGAGCAGGGGTGATGTCCCCAAGAGAAATAAGGAAATTTGGAGGATATTGTGGGGAATTGATGAGTTCTATTTTGGACATGTTGAATTTGAGATGCTGAAGAGTAGAAATGTTCAGAAACTAGTTAGAGATAACAGCACTTGAGTTAAGGAAGAGATTAAGGACAGATATAAGATTCAAGAGTTGCCTGAATACAAACAAAAATTAGACCTATGAAAAAAGATGACTTGGCAGATGATTTTTAGAGTTACCATAGCTAAAACAATTTAGCACCTTGGAGTGATCAGTTTCTTTGACATTAGCTAGGCTGTTTCTTGGATAATGGATGCAGTCAAGAGGCACATACTCAAAAGCTAAAATAGCTTATTCTCTATTAGCAAAGCCTTTGACATCCCAGGCTCTCTTCCATATCACAGTGATGTATCAGAGTCAAAGACTTTCCTTATTTAACAGTGGTAGAAATAAAGGTTTGGATTACGCACTAAGCAAACTATGCTTTGGACATGTTATACATTTCCCTTTCATTCTCAGATATCAAATCATTTCATATAAAGCCATCTTTCCACAAAAATGCTACAAATGTGCACTTTTACAATCCAATTTTCTAAAACACCAAAGCACATTTATTGTGCTAAATTTCACTTAACACCTCTACACACTTGTATCATAATTCCTCACCTTTTGTAATTTCTCTTGCTCTTTCTCCTGTTCAGCTATAAGTATTGATAACTGCTGAGCATGCTGTTCTTCCAGTCTCTTTCTCATTTCTTCAAAAGCCAACATCTTATTTTTTAGCTTCTCTTCTCCTTCTGCAAAGAAATATGCTCTTTTTGGAAAACTTAGTGCATTTTTAAAATACATTTTACAGTATCAATTTTATTTGCATTATTGCACCAAGTCTTCTCAAATTACACAAAAAGTATGTTCCAAAGATTTGTAATCTCCACTTTCTACCACTTTGTATTTCACCACTAAACTCCATGTTGATGCTACCTAATAAATACCCATAATGCTTTACCTTTGCTCATTTGATGTTTTCCACCAATGTCAGAATTAAAGCAAAACATGTGCCATCATAATTCTGTCTTACATTAGTCCACTAGAAGACAAAGACTCCATAAATGCATTACATATAAAAGGTGGAGCCACCTGAACTTATTCTCTCATCTCTTTTCTTTCTCCTCTGGGTCCTCTGTTTTTGTTTTTATCAGTATGTTATTTCAAAGGTGCAAAGACTTGAGTTTGGGGTGCTAAGGAAGAACATTATACAAGAAATTCCAAACATATTAAAAAAAGGGATGAATGTATAAATAAGAAACTTCAAAATAAACCCACTAAATGTCAGGATCATGAGATGCTACTAAATTTAAATGAAGGATATGTACAGTGAAGCACTCTTCTTATCGTTTGATTAAACCCAAAGAAATGTTCTCTTACTGTGAATATAGAGAAAAATTTGCATGATAGGTAAGTATTTATTGAGCTATTACAACGGTTTTTTCACAATTTGTTCTGAGTATGTCAGATGGCCCAACTTACTCTATTCCTATCAAGCTTTTTTGTTAGTGATGACAATTATAAATATCAAGCATCAAAAGCTTTGATATAGTATACTTTATATTGTTAGACTGAATAAAAAGAAAAGGGACATTAAGAGTTCTGATAATGCAGGACAGGATGGGGGAGAGAATAATAATTATAATTAACAGAAAAGCTATCATTTAAAAACACTTCACAAGATGCTTCTAGATGTATTACACACATTCCTATTTATAATTTTTCTCTAATAACATGATATCAAAGTAGCACCTTGCAAATCTAGCAGCGAACATCACAGAAAACAGATATAGCAACTATAGCCCAAATGGAAGATCATATATCAGTGTACCAGATTCAAATCAATAAAAGATGGTCTATGCAAGAGTTTTATTTTGTCATTAGGAATATCTCATCTCTAATACCATTACAGTACGGACATGACATGGACCTCAAATGGGCACCTAAAGTTTTATAATCTAAATAAGAAAGTCCATATGAATAAGGAAAAACTCATTAAATTATAATGTTGCTAATTACAGACTATCTTGCCAGATCGGTTCACTCCTACATATCACGACGCACAGGTTAAAACAATTCCCTCAAAATTTAAACTAAAGATATCTATGAAAAAATTGCCATTTGCTATGTGGTTAGCACCAACTGCATGAAAGCTCTAGAGTACCCTTACCTCTGGAACTAATTTCTAACATCTCATTCTTGTTAATGTAGACAGATCCCTTAGGAAATCTTTTTTCCTGTATCCATCGTCTCTCCTGCTCAGCTGTTTCAGTTGTTAAGATATAAGGGCTATTTTCTTTTTGCAAGCCATCGGCATCCAAATCCAGTTTCCGCTTAACCTTCTCAAAACTGTTTTCCACAAACTGTTCATTTCCACAGGACCCATTTGGTGTATCCATCTGCTGTCTTTTATTCTGGCATTGCATCAGTAGTGGAGATGGGTTTTGTACATCATAAGATTTATTCAGTTCCACTTGGGAATTACAGTTTTTTTCTAACACACTAGTTGGCTTGATTACATTCATTATTCCACACTTTTGACTTACTATGCACTGACTAGTTGCATATGGTTCATGCAATTTTGGAACTATAGTACAATTACTGTCTGTTTTGTATGGCTCTCTCCCATCAGATGCTATTTGACCCTCCATCGTAGCAATTACATGAATGACTTTGTTTTCTAACTGGCTGACTGAATGTTGACATATTTCATTTGATTTACCTAAGACTGATTCTTCATCTCCAGTTTCAGAAGCATTTTTGCTGACAATATGAGCTTTGCTAGAACAAACTTCAGTTAAATCAATAGGAAATTTTGGCACAGACTCAGGTATACTTGTTTTTTCATTGACATCTTGTATGATCAAATCCATGGCCCTTCCTTTTTCTTTGGGACTCAATTCATAGGCATTTATTGGGTTATTTATAAGTATATGACCTGTTGATGAAGACTTAGGCCGTCTTCGATGCATTTTAGGACTCACACTTGGCTCTGGACTAGGTAACTTGGCATAAGAACCTGTAAAACTTTTGACAACACTACTTTCAGGATCAAAAGTGGAAGTGACTTTAAAACCTTCATCTTCATCCGAATCCAGAAGAGCTGGTGTACCCATTCGAGTGGGTATATCCACTTTGGAGAAGCTGGCTAAAGCTAATGCACTCACGCTGCTCATCTGGGTGGTAGCACTTTGGAGAAGAATGTTTGATTTATTAAGGCTCGGTTTATCAAGTGAAACTGAACTACAACTTTTGCTTATAGACCTTGAATTCTCTTTCCCAGAGTCACTCGTCTTAACAGCATCATTCTCTTTGTCCGAGCGGCTCTCGGTGACGCTCTTCTTTGAGTTGTTTCTCATGCTGCGTCGAGTCTGTTCTCGTTCTATGTATTCCTTTGACTTTTTCATAAGATTCTGAAGGCTCATCATGTAAGGATCTGAGGTGGCTTCCTCAACCAGAGACAGCTCCAATTCTCCTTCTCTTCTAGGGATATCATCTACAATCAGAGTCTCCTGTGAAGCACCTGAAGATATCTCTGGAGAAGTTTCATTTCCCAACAGGTTAGGATTAGGGCTGTCACTTTGTTTGATGGAAACGCATGCTCCTATACCTTTATCTGAATTTGTCCCATTCAGTTTTACGTGGGCAATGGTATCGGGAGGCAAGATTTCAATAGTCTCTTCAACCTTCACTGAGGCAGACTGTTCAGTAAGACTTGGCAAACTATCCTTTGGAAGTATAGTGGGAACATCCAAATCTCTGACTTCTGAATTAAGGTAAATTGCCTCAGGTTCCCACTGATCAAAATCACTTATATTTGGTGCTTTTCTGACCTGCAAAGAAAAATTTGGAAATTGATTATTCTAGTTATAGAACACCACCATTTAAGTTTTATAAATGTTATCTAACTGAAATGGGCCAGCATGTATTTCTTTGCGAGAAGCTGGGGTCACAAATAAAAAGAATGAAAAAATCCCTACTCACAAGAAGCTTATGTTCTAGTGGTAGAAAAAAAAAGTACACACACACACACACACACACACACACACACAACACACACACCATAAACATAACGTGGTTAAATACAAGGAAGTTTGAGAAGGAGGGCACCAGTACTTGAGTGGATAAGAAGAGGCTTTATGCAAAAGATGGGGCTTAAGTTGCATTTTTTTTTAAGGCAATTGGGGTTAAGTGACTTGCCCAGGGTCACACAGCTAGTAAGTATCAAGTGTTTGGTCTGAGGTCACATTTGAACTCAGGTCCTCCTGACTTCAGGGCCAGTGCTCTACCCACTGCGCCATCTAGCTGCCCCTTAAGTTGCACTTTAAAGGAAGAGATGGACTTTAGGAAGTAGAGCTAAGGAGAGAGTACATTTCAGGATGTTGGAAATGAGCATCATGGGAAAGCAAAAGAAAGGCTAGTTTGGATGATGGCAGAGTGTAGAAGGGTGAACAATGTGCAATGAGGCCAGAAAGATATAGGGGCCAGGTTGTGAAGGGCTTTTAAAGCTAAACAGTAGAGTTTATGTTTGATCCTAGAGGCAATAGGAAGCCACTGCAATTTCCTGAGTAGGGGAACCACACTGTCATATCTGAGGTTAAGGAAAATTACCTTTTTTTTTTCTTGTCACATTCTGTGGTTAATTTTATTGTGCTTATTTTATTTGTGCTTACTTTCTCAGCAGTGTGTATTGTGGACTGGAATAGGGAATGACCTGAGGCAGGAGACTAATAAGGAGGACACTGCAACAATTTAGGTGAGGGCCTGGACTAAGATGGTAGTTATGTGAGCGAAGGGAAGAGGTAAGATGTGATAGATGTTGTAAAGATAGAAATGGCAAGATTTGGCAAATGATTGGATGGGGTAAAGGACAGTGAGAAGTCTAGGATAATGCCAAGGTTATGAACCTGGAAGACTAGAAGGACTGTGGCGCCTTTGACACAAAAAAGAAAGTCTGGAAGAGGGAAAGGTTTGGAAGGAAGGATAACGAGCCCAGTTTTAGAAATATTGTTTAAGATGACTCTGGGACACCCGGTTTAAAAAATCTAATAAGCATTTAGTGATATAAAACTAGAATTCAGAGAAGACACCTGGGTTGAACATATAGATCTGAGATAGAGACGACAGTCAAACTCATGAGAGAGCATAGAGGGAGAGGTCTAGGGCAGAACCTTGAGGAACACTAGCAGATGAGAAGAAAGCCACAGATTACCTGAAGCACTTGGATCTTAAATCTCTATTACATAAGAGTATTCTACTTATCAGGCTAGATTAAAAGGGTGCTGCCTCCATGTCTCCTAATGGCAGGATGTCTAAAATAGGATAACATACCTCCCCACTTACCTTACAAATTTAGGCAATTAAGTGACTTGCCCAAGGTCACACAGCTAGTACGTGTCAAGTGTTTGGTCTGAGGCCAGATTTGAACTCAGGTCCTCCTGACTTCAGGGCTGGTGCTCAATCCACTACGCCACCTAGCTGCCCCCCCCATAAGAAACTCTTATGTAAAGTAACTTGATGTTGAAAGCAGGGGATCCCTGACTCCTGATTCTTTACAACAAATCTGACTACAAGCATTCTATGAATTGTGATTGAGGCAGCTAGGTAATAGAGTGGATATAGAGCACTAGAGCTGCAGTCAGGAAGACCTGAGTTCAAATCCTGCCATAGAAATTTACTGAGTGACCCTAAGGAAGTCATTTAAACTTATCTGCCTCAAGTTTTCTAATTTGTAAAATGAGAGTAATAATAGCCCTAAACTCCCAGGGTTGTTGTGAGGATCAAATGGAATAATATTCTTAAAGTGCTACACAAACATTTGTTATCATTATTATCATTATTAATTAAGAAGACTTAACAGATGCTTATTCAAAGTTTAATAACATCTCAACATTAACAATGATTTAAGTACAAATTTACTTAAGGCAAACCATACTAAACAATAATCTAGTGGCATTTAAAAACAACTACTAAGGCCAGGGTTCTTAAGCTTTTTTGTGTCATACACCCCTTTGGTATTCTAACGACTCCTGTGACCCTTCTCAGAATAATGTTTTTAAATACATAACATTTTTAAATACATGATATTAAAAAGATACATAATATATAATGTTAAAAAAAAAAAATAAGTTCATGGACCCCAGGTTAAGAACCTTCATATTAAAGAAGGTATTTGTGGATACGGAGATATACAGAGAGTATTTGCAACTAAACAGTAAACTATAATAAAAACGAGTAAAATATAAATGCAAGAAAACTTTCACAGAACACATTAAAATAACATCTTGAATCCTAAATATTTCTCTCTGAAAAAAATGCAGACACATAATTGGCAAATATAACTTGAATTAGAACATTTTCTGATACCAAGCAAGTCTGACTATAAAAAGGGTGCTGCCTCCATGTCTCCTAATGGCAGGATGTCTAAAATACGATAACATACCTCCCCACTTACCTTACAAATCCCCAGACATAATGGTTTCCAGGTAGTAAGTAATAAACAGTACAACAATACCACCTTGTTTCCATACATAGAAAGAAAAATAACTATATCCATGCTTAGCACAACAAAGCTAGAAGGGATTTAAGGAGATTATTTAATCTCACACCACTCCTCTCACCATTTTCCTGATGAGGAAACACGGAAGTGAACTGATTTTGTTTCAGGCCCCAAAGTTAAAGGCAAAGCTAGGCCTAGAAAGAACCCAGGTCTTCTGGCATGCAGTCCAGTCCACTCTGACTACACTATGCCACTATAAAAGCAAATCTTCTACCTGTTCACTAAAGCCATGGATTGATTTGTAGTTGTAAACAATACAGATTATTTTGACAAAGAAACCACAATAGCTAATAGTTTTATTCCAAATGATGACTAAAGCTGACATGAAGTTCTGATTATAATAGATAACACCTTAAAAAACTGTGCATTTTCTATAAAATATCTAGACCTGCATGATTTATAATACATAAAAATAATCTGCAGTGCCAATATTTCAAAGGTTCTTTTAAAAGAGATTATTCTCTAACTCTAATAATCCTATTTCTATCATGTAATTTATTTTGGTAATCTTGAAAATAATAACATTCAATTTTCTTTTTAATTGTATAAGACATTATCTACATAGCCTCCATGACAACTGAGTGTGTATATATATATATTTATTTATTTTATGGTTCTAGAATTTGTGATGTGCACTGAGTGGGTTAATTATTAATGTTATGAAACTTAGCTGAGATAAACAACAGTGAGTTTAGCAGTTACCCGGTAATGTCCTAAAACATGATGCTAATATCAACTGGAGCGTGTTACCCAGGACCAACCAAAAACCCTGGGGATTAAGAAAACAACAAAATACGTAACCAACAGCATTATGGTACTGAATATGCTGGCAGCTGCTGGGTTTATTTTTTTCAATGTGAGAGTCCTTATTTCATTTTTAGTACTTGTTTACATGGCCTTTCAAAAGAAACTCAATGCTATTCAAATTTAAGAGTTTTAACATTAATAATGGCAAATGGTAAACAAAGCAAATAAAATGGCCCTCTGCTAAATCTAGATAATTCTATCTTCTATTTCATTTATACTAATGAAAACTGTCCATGGGTACTCAAGAGCATAATTTTAACAAAAGTGAATTTCCACTGATTATTTACCTTATCAGAGAATGAAAATGAGGTCACTGGTCAGCTAATAAGTACAAAAAGTAAACTTCAGTAAATACATTCAGAATTTTTAACTAACAATTGAGTGTTTTTAAACAGTAACAAGACCCAAACAATAGCTATTACATTCATGTGTAGGTCCCTTGTCTAAACATCTACTGATCTAAGTACTAGTCATCAGTCATCACTTACAAACAACAACATTTTTTGTGTAGCCAAAAAAAAAAAAGAAAAACTCTGACTTCTCAAACATGATGGTAAACACAGTGCATCATTAACAACCTAGGAATTATAAATAAATGTCTTGGGGAATTAACTTCTTTATCAAAACTAATGGGGCTAGACACACCTGAACATTTTCCAGGATCTCCTGGACACGATTCAGTAAGGCTTTCTTCCTGCTACTCTGTTTTCGTGCTTCTATATCAAGTGCTTTCTGCTTCTCTTGCTGCATTTCTTTTCTCCTCTCAACAGTGAGCTGTGCAAAACATATCAAATTATTTAGCAAATCTTTTTTTCTAGTAGCAAAACAGTGTATGATCAATAAGAAACTTTAAAACCTGTGAGTAACAAAACCAGTGGTTAAGTGACCAAATAAATCTGTAAAAATTTGTTCACTTTTATCAAAGGCTCTTAAATCAACCAGATATTAGTCATTTTTCCACCACAGAAATGGCAATAAGTTCCTGTTCTCAGTTAAATATCAGTTAAATCCACCAGTTTTTATTCCTTCATCCAAATGTTCTACTCATTTTTGCCTTAAAAATAAACTACAAATAGTCCTGATAAAAAAAGATAAAAGATCCTATTTGTCATCATTCCAAGAAAAAGTATATTTCTAGCTCTTTATCTTTGTAGACTTCAATAAAAAGGTACAGGATCTGAAATAAAATTAAAAGCTACGAATATTTAAATTAAAACAAGTACGAGGCTGGCTTAGTAAAGATGACAAAAGAAAAGTCAATGCTGGCAGGGAAGTAGAATAAAAGGCACATCTTTTATGGAATTGTAAATTAACCCAACCATTCTAGAAAGCAATTTGTAGTTATGTTAAAAATGAAAGTTCCTAAAATGCCCAAACCCTTCAGCCCAGAGATTGCACCATTAAAGCATCTATTTCCAGGAAGTCAAAGACAGAAAGTCCGATATACACCAAAAAATTCATAGCAATGTTTCATTTCTTTTTGTGGTAGTAAAGAACTAGAAATTAAGTAGGCACCTAACAACTGCAGAATGGCTAAACAAACTGTAGTACATAAATGTAACGGAATACTATTGTACAATAAGAAGTGACAAATATGAAGAATTCAGAGATGCATGGGAAAACTTATATAAAACTGATGCAGCATGAAGTATGCAGAATAAAAACTACACAAAAACAATGTAAAGAGAAAGAACAACAAAATGAAAGAGAAAGCATTTATTACGTGCTTACTATGTGCAAAACACTGAGGATACAATGAAATTAAATGGAATACTCTGCAATTATAATGATAAGGTTGGCCTTAGAGGAGAGCTAAGAAAATGTACCTCCCTCTCCCTTATTTCAGAGGTAGGAACTTCAGAGTGTGAAATACTGCACATACTGTCAGATACAATCAATATGAAGATTGGTTTAAAGGCCTAAAAAGCCTTTGACTTTGCATCTGATCCTAGACATAACAGGGGCGCACTAAAATTTACTAGAGCAGACATCATAATAGCATCTAACATTTAATAATTCTTTAAAGTTTGCAGGGACAGCTAGGTGGTGCAGTGGATAGAGCTCCGGCCCTGGATTCAGGAGGACCTGAGTTAAAATCCAGTCTCAGACTCATAACACTTACTAGCTGTGTTAATCCCGACTGCCTCACCAGAAAGGGAAAAAAAAACCCTACACTAAAGTTTGCAAAGTGATTTACACACATGATCTCATTTGAATATGCTAAGGTCAGACTTCATGCATTAGCACTATCACTTTGGACTTTTTGGCAGCTGTGTGTTGGAGGGAGAAACTTGAGGCAGGGACACCAATCAAGGGGATATTGTAATAGTCCAGGCAAAATGTGATGTGGGACCAAGCTAAGGTAGTACTACTTACTGGAAAGAAGGGAAGAGACACATAGGATGTTGTTAAGGCAGAACTGACAAGTCTTGGCAACAGAAGGCATACGAGTAATAAGAAGCTGAGGATGATTGAGGTTGCAAAGTTATGTGACTCAGAGGACAGTAGTACCCTCATTCAAAAGAGGAAAGTTTGGAAAAATAATAGGTTTAGGAAAGATGATGATTTCCTTTGCTTTATGACCCCTAAACTGTTCTTTAGTGTTTTTTACCTTCAGCATGGTCTCTCACTCCTCCTCCTCTCAGTTCTTTCCCAGGATGTCAACCTTGAACTAGCTACCTTCTTTCTCTTCCCTATCCTCTTCCCTATCTTGACCCTTCAATGAATCAATTCAACTCTACACTATCCTCTACACTCAAATCCTTTGCCCCACTGTCCTACTGCCAATCATTCTTTGCCCAACCCCAATCTTGGGTTACTCCTACCATTTGCCACAACTGAAGCAAACAAGGTAACATGACTAGTCCAGGGTTACATATAAGTGTTTGAGGCCAGATTTGAACTCAGGTATTCATGACTACAAGCCCTACAATCTATTTACTGTACTACCTAACTGTCCCAACCTTGCCTCATCCTAATTTGAAAAAACTGGGGCCATTTGTTGACTCAAATGTCTTTCCCAACATCCCCTCCTTCACCAATCTCACATGAAGAGGTGAGCCTTTTCTTTGTCAAGGCAAATGCCTTTAACTGCATATATAAATCCCATTTCACCTCACTTTCTTCAGAAGATTGTCCCCTCTTTCAAATCTAATCTTCAATTTCTTTCCATCTACTGGCTACTTCCCTGCTGCCTAAATACACTCATGTTTCTGCCATCTTTAAAAAACCCTCAATTGATCTGACCATCCCTGCTAGTTGTCTTCTATCTTTCCTCCCTTTAGTAGCTACACTCCTTGGGAAATTCATCTATGTACAATATATGCCTTCACTTTCCCTCCTGTCACTCTCATATAAGCCAAGCCCTCTGCAATCTTGATTCTGATTTCAACATTTAACTGAAACTGCTCTCTCCAAAATTACGAATGATTTCTTAATCCGCCACATTCATCGATTTTCCTCTATCCTCATCTGACCTTTGACACTGACCACCATTTTCTCCTGGATACCCTCTCCTCTCTAAGTTTTTCAAACAGTTCTTCTGGTTTTCCTCTTACTTGTCTGACCACTCCTCAAGTCTCTTTTGCTGGTTTTTCATCTAGGTCGTGACTACTAACCACAGGGGTCCCCAAGGTTCTGTCCGAGGCCTTCTTCTTTTCTGTCTACCATCTTGCTTAGTGATCTTATGAGCTCTAATGGGTGAAAATTCCCAGATCTTTAAATCCAGCCCTAGTTTCTCTCCTAAGCTCCAGTCAACTGGCTTTTGGACATCTCAAACTGAATATTCTGTAGATATCACAAACTTGATACATCTAAAATAAAACTCATCTTTTCCCACAAACTCTCCACTCTTCCCTACTGCTGTCAAGGCCACCACCCAGGCCTATAATGTCAGTACTATCTTTAACTCCTCCTTCACACTCACCACATATGCCCTTATCTGATGCCAAGTCTTGTTCGTTTTACCTTCACAACATCTCTTGTATGTATTTCCCTTTCTCTCCACTCACACAACCACCAGCCCAGTGCAGGTCCTCATCACCTTACACCTGTACTACTGCAATAGTCTGCTGGTAGGTCTGCCTGCCAAGTCTCTACACTCATTCATTCTTAACCTGAACTGCAAAAATGATATACTAAAGCACAAGACTGACTGTGTCACCCCCTACCCAATAAATTCCACTGAATCCCTATCGCCTCCAGGATCAATTCTAAAATCCTCTGGCTTTTAAAAGCCCTTCACAACCTAGCTCCTTCCTACCTCCCAGGGTTTCTTATTTATTCTTTTCCCCAGTTCACGTACGCCATAGTCCAACAACACTGGCCTTCTTGTTGTTCCTCCCACATGACCCTTGGTCCCCAGACTCTGTGCCCTTTTCCTGTCACCAGCACCTCTTGGCTTCCTTCAAGATTCAGCTCAAGTGTCACTTTTTTAAAGAAGGCTTTCCTGATCCCACTCAACTTCCAAAGCTAGTATCTTCCTTCTGAGAATATCTTCTTTCTATCTATCTATCTATCTATTTCTATGTATACTTTCTTTCATGTTCTTTCCTCCATTAGAATTCAAGCTTCTTGGGCAGGGACTATATTTTTGCCTTTCTTTGCATCTCCAACACTAAGTCCAGTGGCTAGAACAAACTAAGAGCTTAATAAATGCTTGCTGACTGAGTACTGACATAGCTAGCATGTTTCAGAGGCAGGAAATGAACCCAGATTTTCCTGACTCCAAGGCCATTCATATGGTACAATACCAAACTGCCACTACAAGAATGAATTAACATGTTAAAAATAGATTTCACTGCCCCTGGTTAGTGTGAAAGGGTGAGACTAATAGGAACAAGTCAATTGACTTCATCTATCTAAAATATTAATGTTACCAACAGACATTTGTTTAAATGGAAAAAATATAACCTAGCCACCAACTGGAAATAAAGAAATTTTACCAATGGAGAAAGCACAGCAACTCCATGGAAACGAATAAGTGAAATGTTCTCAGGTTGACCTGATGGAAAAGTTTCTTGAGATAGTGACTCTCCTTGGATTCTGACAAGGTTTTTCTTGCAAAACTTCTCATATTCCTCCATTATCACACAATTAAGCTGCAAGAATAAAAATAATATTAACACTTTTAAGAAGAAAAACTATTTCCCAAATTTAAAGTGCTTGCTACTAAAATTGTTTATTTGGAAGACTAAATACATAATTTTGACACTTAAATTGTAGCTAACTCAGATGAAGGCATCAATATACAGGCATTCTGCATTTTGTGTAACTAACATGTTTATGGGTATCTGCATGAAACCGAATTTTTAAAAATCAAAGTGATTTTAAGTACAAAAGGAATCTAGCATTAAATGGGGAAAAAAAATCTCTCGTTACTACATAATCCTCTCAGATACGAAAAAAAGATCTATGAACTCGTGAATTTCGATATTCTCTCTAATGATACAAATTGCAATACATTCTTGTACAAATCTTATCTATGTACTTACTCCCTTGAATTCATCCCCCAAAATTCAGCCAACATGCTGGATGCCTTCCTCAATTTCTCCAGATGTTGCAATTTATTTTATAGTACTAGACTTTCATAAATGGGGCACAATATAGAAGAAAAACTATACCTACCCATGCCAATAAAACTTTTTCTCCTAAAAATAATGGCCAGAGAAGCTGGTTTATCAAAGAGATAAGATTTTACTTATGTTGAAAGCATGCTTTATTTCACGGTTCTGGCCAGGACCTTTCTAATGTATGAATGTAAGAAATGCAAATACTACGTGATTATATATTAATGCATTTCACTACTGAAAATTTTAACAATAACAAAAATAACAATTCTTCTAGTAATTCTACTGTTTCTTTGTAATGATATGTGTAAAAGTAACCTGGAATAAACCAGTTATAGTATTAATTAACTCATTCATACCAATCAACCAAGAATTTATTGGATACCCATAGAGTATGAAAAACTTTCTTAAAACATGCTAAATTAAAAAGAAATGGAAACATTTTTTAAAAATGTAAATATTCTCAGTATAGATATACTAGATTATAAGGAAACCCAATAAACCATGTTTCTTTAAGTATTGATTTATAAGTTACCATTTAACAAAGAGACTCCAGACCAGAGAAACACAACAATTTAATGGAATTTTATAACTGACAGAAACCTGGGAGATCATCTAGAAAGTCCTTCATTTTGCAGATGAAGAAACTGAGGCCCAAAGAAGGGAAGTGATTTTTCCAGAGGTCACATACTTAGCTATTTAAAGCAAAAGTGTTGGGAGGTCTAGCTAACTAATGTGCAGCTGGAAATAAAAATAAAGAATTCCTGAAATTAAAATAAAATTAATAAAAAATTAAGATTTAGTTTCCCTTTTATTTAAATTTCTCCCTTACTCATAATAACAAGATTTCTTCTGTCAGTCTAATTTTTAACATGAGTTTGACTTTGAAAAATTTCCCAAGAATACTTCAAATAGTATCATACAAATCTGATGTCAATTTTTTCCAATGAGTTTTGCTGCATCAAGGCAATATGTGTACTTATATACACTCATTTCAAAGCCAGACACTTTCAAGTTCTCATTAAAAGAGCTAACCTTTACACAGTGCTTTAAGGTTTGCAAAATGCTTTACATCCCATTTGCTTTTCATAACAACCCTATGAGATATTTATGACCATTTTACAAACAAGGAAAGAGGTGCAAATCATTTAAGTGACTTGTTCATGGTCACACGGCTAATGTAAGCAGTAGAATATAATTCTTTGTATTTGTATCCCCTGGCCTAGCATGATGCCTGGTACATCATAGATGTTTAATAAATGTTGTTGGACTGATTTGAACCCAGGTTCTCCTGACTATACTTACAGAACTCTTCTCTTCATAGAAAAAAAGCAAGAAAACTTAAATGATCCTTGTTTAAGTGTGAATACTGAAAAAGTTTTAACTGAATCCACAAAAAACATCTACTTTTACAGATATTTTATCATGCACTATATATTGAATAAATGTACCTTCTAAAACAATAAAATTAAACTTGACATTCCATTTTGTCTCTGCCAACTAACTGCCAAGTTTTACAAGTTTATCTCACAAATATCTTGGAAACAAATGCCATAGAATGTTCTAACAATACTACATATCAAACATAAAGTTTCAAATTCTATTTACAGAGGGCCTCTTGCAAAATGCAAAGGTGATTTAGAAATGGAAATCTCGTATCTATGAGTAGAAACTAATCAACTTGATTTGAAGAAAGCATCTGTCAACTATTCCCATTTCCAAGACCTTCAAAAAAGAAACTCAAACATTCATCCAGGAACAGAAAAATTATAATATCACTGGCAATCCTCTTCTCAGGGGCAAATTAGTACCTCTAAATTACAATGTCAACCATTTAAAAAGTGAGTAATCTATGTTACATATGATTAGACAGGTGGATACTGAATTACTCATATCACAATCTACTGTTTATAAGTTTTAAACTTAAAGGGTGCCTCTGGCACATATTCACTCTGTATAGCTGCTCCCATTGCTCTTTAGCCATCCCATAAGTTTAGGACCCTATTCATTATTAATTCAGTACTCTAGAAAGCTAATATTCCCTTTCTACCAGAAATTTCAGAAAAGGTAAGAAATACAACTATGCAAGATGACAGAGTTACTGTGGTAAACCAGCAATAAAGACCTCTCTTGTTCCCCATTTCCAATCAGTTGCCAAATCTTGTCAATTTTACTAACTCCACAACAGCCCTTCACATCTGTCCCGTTCCACTCAAATGAATCAGCTCTCATCACCTCTTACCTGAACTACAATAGCCCAACTGGTTTCCATGATTCCAGTCTCTCCCTCTTCCAATTCATCTTCTATATCATCAAAATTAATATTCCTAAAACATAAGTCTGATTACATCAACCTCCTCCTCAAAAATCTTCAGTTGGTTCCCTAATGCCTCCAGGATCAAATAGAAACTTCTCAGCCCTGGCATTTTTGAAGCTCTTCACAACCTGGTTCCAGCCTTACCTTTTTAGACTCATTTTTACCCTACTCATCTTCAGGATTCTTACTTTCAGCCAAACTAGCCTATTTGCTATTTTCTGACCTCAGCATTCCAATTCCAGCTTTCAAGCAGGGAAACCCTCCTTCCCCAATTCACCACCTCACCCCTGCCTCAGGAAATCCTATCATCCTGTTTCAGCTCGGGTACTTCCTAGACTGATCTACCCTTTTGCCACAGAACTCTCCCCCCTCAAATTATCAACATACATTTACTCATCTGTATACATATTGCTGTATCCAGTAGAAATTAAACTTCCTGAGGGTAGGGCCACTTTTTTTTCCATTTTTTTCTTTAAATGTCCAAGGCCTAGCCTTAGCTTTGCAACACCAAGGACTCAGCAAACACTAGCTCAACTGAAGAGATGAGCTTGCTACAAAGAGTAAACTGATAAATAGTGCTCCCTAAGCCCGAGCCCTTTTACTCTATTGAAAAGCAAAGGGAGGTCCCCTACCAAGCACAGCGAAAGAAATACTAACAGTTCGCAGCACTGAAAAGAATTGGGTGTTGGTTTTTGTTGCTGTCTTTTTTTTAATCAGGTGTATACAGGCTCCCCACCCTAAGCTTCCCACAGGCATTCATCTTCCCCTTACCCCACCCCACCCACCCCCAAGGAACATTAAGCTCAGTCCAGTCCACGCCCGCAGTTCCATCAACCCCCAAGACCTACCCCAAATGCACCCTAGCCTCCCCATCCCCCACCTAGCCAGGCAGTGCGGACAAGGATTGGCCGGGACTGCCGGGAGCAGGGACGAAAGTCTCTTCGCCCCAGGCGCCGCCTCATCCCCGCCTCCAGGCACGGTGCGAAGCCCCCAGCGCCCTCCCCTCCCCCCAACGCACCCACCTACTTCCCTTCCGTAACCCCCAGCGCCCCTTGAGACTCTCTCTCTCTCTTCCTTCCTCTACAACCTCGGGAGGAGACAAAGGGATCAGGCTATATCTACACAGCGCAGCCCGCTCCGCCGCCGTCTCCTCCTCCTCCTCCTCCCCGCCATATTACGGGTCTCAAGGCGGCAACGCCGGCACCTGGCAACCGCTGTTGCCGCCGCCGCCACCGCCCTCACTCCGCCTCCCAGGCAGGGCACTTCCGGTATCGCACTACCGGAGTAGAAGAGTTCTGCCTCCGCTCTGGGGCTACCCAACTAGAAACTACAACTCCCGAAGGGCTACGCGTGTCGCCTGTCTGGTCTCCAGGATTGGATGAGCAGCGTTGCATCCTGGGATGTGTGGTTCTCACAAGAGGCAAGCTCTTCCCCTACCCCGCAAGAAAAAGGAGGTTGGCAGAAACGGGAAAACTCTATTCTTAAGTAAGTCATCTGTTATTCAAGTCAAAGCTGGAAGGAACCTTACAGTGCTTTCTATCAAATTAATCTGTCCACGCATCATTGGGGCTTTAAAAACATCGACATAGCCATGAATGCTGATCCAAGTTGCCCAGATGTACGAACCATTCCCTGCTTTCCAGAGAAGCCCCAAGTGTTTAAGTAATTTGCCCAAGGTAACATAGCTATAAGTGACAAGCAGAACGCAGTTATTTTACTAGTAATGAGGAGACGGCTTCAGAGAGTTCAATTTCATCAAGGTTATACGCCGAATGAATGAATGGAAGAGCCAGAACTAGAACCAAGTTCTGTTCCATGAACAAATGAATTGATGTAACAAATGGCATTTTAAAACAAGTTCTCTTATACTATCAGATCTCTCCTAAGGAAATTACTTTATATTCACCAGGGTCATTTCTCTGTAAACAAACTGGTTTATGGATAATATTTCAGGCCTTAGAACATCCTTAGGCTTTCAGGATGGAAGAGGATTTTATTAAAAAGTGGAAACAATAAGCACAGAAAGAAGGCAAAGCAGTCCTTGAATCCAGATCTCTTAACTCTTTTGTGTTGCCCTGCTTCCGAAGAACCTGTCTTCCAAAACTTTTCCACTTGCTTCATTCCCATATGAAGTTCAAGTGCCTTATGGTATGTGTGATTGCATAATGTCCACTTCTTTAATCAGATCATTTATAGAGAGTACTTTAATGTTTGCAAAATGTTTTACAAATGTAATTTCATTTGATCCTCACAACATCTCTGAGAGGTAGGTGCTTTTATTATCATCACTTTTTTGCAGATGAAGAAACTGACGCAGGGGCTAAGTAACTTACACACATCAGTTATTTTAGTTTTTGAGGCCGCATTTGAGGTCCTGGGCCAGCGCCTTAGCCACTGCGCCACCTAGTGGCCCTCCTGCAGAACGTGGATGAATGTAGCAAAGGTTAAATAAAGACAGCAATGGTCCGTAGACTCAGATGGAAGTTCCTCTAGAACTCGAGCCTCCAAACTAGGTCCTGTTGCTATAGCAGTGGCCCCGCCTTGAATGCCCCGGAGTTCCGAGGTGCTGATTGGTCGGCGGGGAGGCTATCTTTCCGGATGTTCCCGGGCCGGCCATTGTGCGCGCCGGTTCCCTCTGCGGGTGACGGCTCTGATCGTCCGGCTCTCCCGCGCCTTTCCCTCTTCTCTGAGACCGGCGGACCCGGGACTCTGTCCCAGAGGCTGCAGGTGCCGGCGCCGGCGCCGGCCCCGACCCCCACATGTGGTTGTGGGAGGAGCAGGGGGGCCTGTTGGCCTCCTTCTCCTTCCTGTTCGTTCTGCTGTTGATCCTGACCCGCAGCCCCTTCAACTCGTGCCTCTTCACCTTCAGCTTCTACCTGCTGCTGCGCTTCTTAAGCTTCGAGCCGGTGCCCAGCCGCCGGGCCCTGCAGGTGCTCAGGCCCCGCGGCCGCATCTCTGCCATCGCCCACCGCGCTGGCGGCCACGATGCCCCTGAGAACACGCTGGCCGCGATTCGGGAGGTAGGGAAGGGGGAGCCCCTCCCCCTCTCGGGGTACTCCTCTCCCCCACCCCCAGGGTTTCCTCTCGCACCTTTCCAGCCCCGAAGAAATGGGGTCTCTCAGTACCCCCTTGTTGAACGCGTGAACCTCTCAGCCTCAGTTTCTTCCTCTGTAAAATGGGAGGTAGGAATGTGTGTGATAGATAGCCCCAATATACGGTCAAATATATTTATGTATGAGAAACGCTTTGCAAATTTTACTGTGCTATTCAATATGCATTATTATTATTTATTATTAAAGGCAGTTAGGTAGCTCAGTGGATGAGAGCTGGACCTAAAAGACCAGAATTCAGAATTCAGATGTGGCCTCGGTCACTTAGTAATTGCATGACTACAGTATGCAAATCACTCAACCTCGGTTTTCCCATATGTAAAATGAATACGAACGCCCCACCTGTGAGGATCAAGTATGATCATATATAAGGACAAAGAGTTTGCAAATCTTGCAGTGCTATATCAATGTGCATTATTATTATTCATTATTAAAGGCAGCTAGGTGGCTCAGTCTATTAAGAGTCAAGAACACCAGAGTTCAGAGATCCACTCAATCTCATTTTTCCCGATTTGCAAAGTTGGAAGAAGTAGGGCAAGAACCTCTGTTCCTCAGTGTAGCTGTGAGCATCAAGCATAATGCTTGCATCAAGCATAATGATTTGCACTTTGCAAATCCTACAGTGCTATATAAATGTGAATTACTATTATTAAATCATTAAAGGCAGCCGGGTGGCTCAATGAATGAGCTTGCTGGACCTGGAATCTGGAAGATCAGAGTTCAAATGAGGCCTCAATTACTTTCTAATTGCATAACTGGGGTAAATCTCTTAACCTCTGGCTACCTCAGTTTTCCCATTTGTAAAATGGGGAGGTGGTGGTGGTGGTGGTGATGGTGATAGCCCCTGTTCCACAAGGTAGCTGTGAGCATCAAATATAATTATGTATACGTAGCATTTAAGGCAGCTAAGTTGCTGCTGGAAGTGCAGGAAGACTCATCTTTCAGAGTTGAAATCTGGCCTCAGGTACTTACCTCTGTGACCTTGGTCAAATCACTTAATCCTGTTTGCCTTATTTTCCTCATCTGTAAAATGTATGGGAGAAGGAAATTGCCAACCACTCCAGTGTCTTTGCCTAGAAAACCCCAAATGGGATCACAAAGAGTCATACAAGACGAAAACAGTATAGTGCTATATAAATGTGGGCTATTATTTTTTAAAATTTATTTATTTTTAGTTTTCAACAATCACTTCCATAAGCTTTTGAGTTTTAAATTTTCTCCCTCTCCTTCCCCAACTCCCTCCCCAGGATGGCACGCAATCTGATACAGGGTATACATATACATTCCTATTAAATATATTTTCATATTAGTCATGTTATAAAGGAGAATTAGAACCAATAGGGGGAACCATAAGAAAGAAGAAACAAAACAAAACAGAAGGGGAAAAAAGAGCAAATACTATGCTTTGATCTGCATTCAGACTCCATAGTTCTTTCTCTGGTTGTGGATAGCATTTTCTATCATGAGACTTTTGGAAATATCTTAGATCTTTGCATTGCTGAGAAGAGCTACGTGTATCAAAGTAAGTCATCATACAACATGGGTGTTACTGTGTACAATGTTCTAGTTCTGTTCACTTCACTCAGCATCAGTTCATTCAAGTCTTTCCAGGTTTTTCTGAAGTCTGCCTGCTCATCATTTCTTATAGCATAGTAGTATTCCATTACATTCATATACCACAACTTGTTCAGCCATTACCCAACTGATGGGCATCCCCTCAATTTCCAGTTCTTGGCCACCACAAAAAGAGTTACTATAAATATTTTTATACATGTGGGTCCTTTTCCCATTTGTATGATCTGTGGGATATAAACCTAGAAGTGCTATTTCTGGGTAAAAGGTTATGCACATTTTTATAGCCCTTTGGACATAGTTCCAAATTGCTCTCCAAAATGGTGGG